ACGTTGTATTTCAAGTTTACTTAATAATCCAAGTAGGATTTGGATTGATATAGGGGAGGAAGGAACACGTTGGCAGAAAGTAATCTATGAGAAAATCAAGTCGTTCTACAAAAACGGTAAGAAACAAGGCCATGGGGAAGATGCATGCAGGAAAAGGAAAGTGAGTCTGTCGATGGATGGTGCACAGGGACATAAGCAAAATTTGGAAAGATTTAGTATCGGTAAGGCAAATGGAGAGCAGAACAAGAGGAAAGAGATTCAACAAATCCAAAATCCAAACAAGGCAATCCAAGTCAAATTCCACCCCAACCACAATCGAAAGAGATGTATCAAGCTTAGAAACGGAAAGGAATTTGGAAATAGTAGCACAAAAACAAGCAAGTCCACAGTACAAAAAAGGTAACAGTAATTAATAGTGATACAATAACATATATTGCCCAAGAAATAAAGGAAATGTGGAATGGTGAATCGTTTATTGTTATGGAAAGGGGAGACCATTCGAGAAAGGATAATTTAGGGGACATGGGAATGTCTACGCTATCTAAGGAAACTGAAAATATCCAAGATTCAGAGAATCCATTGATTAGTCAGCGGGTTGCGGCAGAGGAAGACGAGCATGGTGAATTGAACGCAAATGTGGATCATAACATTTGGAGCTTTGTCAATGTCCTTGAAGCCTAACCAAGTATGGTGCTTGATATCTCATGAGCTGAAAAGGAAGTGCATGGCATCCATAGCTGTGCAATTCCTACAAATGAATGATTAACAATGCAGGATGAGCAAACTAAAGAAACACCTCTTACAGAAATACATAAAACAATTTTTGATTAAGAAAGTTAGGGATGTGGATTCAAGTTTTCTGATAGAGCATAACTATGTATGTATGGAGACCCCAAATCAGAGTATGAATGATGATAGAGGCCTGTGAATACAAAAGGAGCCCCTAGATAGGGGTTATTATTCCGATGGTGAAATATCAAGAAGCTTAGATTGTGTGGAAGTGGATTTGCAAGAATCTGATGAAGCAGAAAATTTTGATATGGATATTAATTTGCAGAATCTACCGCAGTTAGGAGTTATTAGTAGATCGAGATCTAGATAAATTCCCTCTTCAATTAATTAATGGTTTACGCAATCATTTGGAAAGTGAGGGGAGCAAACCAAGAGGCCTCTCTAGGCTGAGGTCGAAGCAATTAATTAACATGCATGGTGCAAGTTTGGTGGTACTATTAGAACCAAAGTTAAAGCCTTCTAAATTACATCAGTTATGTAGGAATATAAGTTTTTCATCCTACTTAGCTAATCCATTGGCTAGGAAGTACATGTGGGTAATTTGGGATCACAGAGTAAAGGTGGGTGTAATATCATCTCATGAACTGGCTCTCACAGTGGAGGTGTCTTATTTGGGATCAGAACCTTTTTTCATGACCTTTGTCTATGCTAAGTGTGATTATATCCAGAGAAGAGCTCTATGGAGTTATCTAACTCAATTATTTGTTAAGGCTAAACCATGGATGGTGGTTGGAGATTTTAATACCATTGTTTCTTCGAAAGAGAGGAAAGGGGGATCTTACCCTAGCTTAACTATTATGAATGAATTTATATCCGTAATTAATTCGTTATCCTTTCTGGATTGTGGCTTTGTTGGCTCTAAATTTTACATGGTGTAATAATCACCAAGGGAGGACAAGGATGTGGCAGCGTTTAGACAGAGCTTTGGTGAGTGTGGAATGGAGGGAAAGGTTCATCTCTACGACTATTGAGCATGCAGGTATGGGTCAATCAGATCACTGTCCACTTATTGTGAAGTTTGTAGAGTCAGGTATTATGCCAAGGATTTCATAAAATAGGTGGATTAAGCATGGAGGTTTTCTGGAGCTGGTTAGGAGAAACTGGTTTGGCACTCAGTCTCTAAATCCAATTGAGAATTTATTTCTTAAGTTAAAGTTTTTGAAAGTGCATTTGAAGAGATGGAATAAGGAGACCTTTGGAAATGTCTTTGACAATATTAAAAGGTTAGAAGCACAGTTAGTCAGTGCAGAGATGGAGGTTGAGAGAGAAGCTTATGAATTTAATAATCAGTAATTGTTAAATGTAAAAGCAGAGCTGGAGAGAGCTTTAAAGATTTAAGCAATATATTGGAGGCAAAGGGCAAATGTGAAGTGGGCTATTGAAGGGGAGAGGAACACAAAGCTATTTCATGCACTGGCAAGGAGTAAGGCTGTCAAGAACAGAATAGCAAGAATTAAGAATGATGATAACCAATAGGTGGAGGAGGAGTCAGAAATTGCAACTTGTGCTGTTGAGTTCTTTAACAAGTTGTATAAGTTTGAACCACATAGATTGGTGGAAGATTTGTTTGATTGTATTCCAAAGTTAATTATTGAGGAAGACAATGCTATGCTCATTGCNAATTAAGAATGATGATAACCAATAGGTGGAGGAGGAGTCAGAAATTGCAACTTGTGTTGTTGAGTTCTTTAACAAGTTGTATAAGTTTGAACCACATAGATTGGAGGAAGATTTGTTTGATTGTATTCCAAAGTTAATTATTGAGGAAGACAATGCTATGCTCATTGCTCCAGTCATTCTGGATGAACTCAAGGATGTAGTTTTCTCAATGTCTATTTACAGCGCTAGTCTTGATGGCTACTCAGGTCAATTTTTTCAAAGTACTTGGGACATTATCAAGATGGATTTGCTAGTTGCTGCTAATTTTTTCTTAGAAGGTGGGGTGCTGCCAAGGTCTATTAATGCTACCTTATTATCTCTTATCCCTAAGAAGGGGAATCCAACAACCTTTGCAAAATTTAGGACAATTAGTCTGTGTAATTTTTTGTATAATATTTTTACAAAAATCCTGACATCAAGATTGGGTGTGCTGCTTCCTAAGTTAATGTAAGAAGAACAACATGGATTTTTGAAGGGTAGGAGTATTGGGGATAGCATAGCTCTTGCGCAGATGATGGTGAATGAGTTGGATAGAAAAGTAGAGGTTGGGAATGTGATAGTGGAGCTGGACATGATGAAGGCCTTTGACATGTTAGAATAGGAATTTTTGCAGCGTATTCTAAGAAATTTTGGGTTCTCTGATTCCTTCCTAGGAATTATCTCCAATTGTCTTCAAAATCAAAATGTCTCTTTGGTGATTAATGGCATTAGGTATGACTTCTTTCCAAAATCATGGGGACTTAGACAGGGTGATCCTTTGTCACCTAGTCTTTTCATTCTTGCAGAGGAGATTTGAAGGATATATATCAAAAGGGATTGGTGAAATACTATAATGCTGGAAAGGGTTCCACTCCACTTACACATCTGATTTTTGAAGATGATATACTTATTTTCTTGAAAGGAAATAAGAACTCTATGATATATCTATTGAAGTTTGTGAAGAGATATGAAGATTCATTTGGTTAGCTGGTTAATAAGCAAAAAAAGTTCTATGTACTGCTCCACGATCATCCCCTTGTCAAGGAGAAATATGTTATCTCAGACTGCTCGTATTCCTCTGAAGGTATGTCCTTTTACTTATTTGGGTGTCCCTTAGTAAAAGTTAGGGTTAAATTAATCTATTATGATGAGTTTCTTAGGAAATTCCAATTGAAGTTGGAGGGGTGGTATTCAAAAATGTTGTCGGGAATGGGGAGATTGGTATTAATTCAATCAGTCTTGAATTCTATCCCTATTCATCTTAAATCTCCCGAAAGGTATACTCTCTAAGTTAAATTCTACCATGGCTTCCTTTTTATGGTTTGGAAAGTTAGGGGTGAAGAAAAAACATTGGGTTTCATGGAAGGTTATAACTATGCCTAAGGATGAAGGAGGCTTAGGTCTAAGAAGATTTGAAGATGTTCAAAGTGCATTTCGTATGAAACAAGTATGGAACCTGCTACATACTAATTCATTATGTTCTAAGGTATTTGCAAGTAAATTCTTGAAAAACCAGCACCTTCTTGCTAGCTTTTTAGGAGAAAATTTTAAAAGTTATAGGGATTTAGCTCCATGGTTTGACTTGGTGATGGAAAATACCCAAATGATAGTTGGAACTGGTTCCTCAGTTGATTTCTGGGGTGATAATTGGTCAGGCGGGGGTCCTCTAGTTCTTAGAAACTCTGCAAGACCAGAGGTGTTTCCAAAGCTCTCTCAGTTATATGTGGATGGACAGTGGGAATTGGGTGATACACAACATGTTCTTGATACTGAATTGTTACAAGAGGTGTTGTCTTGTCAACTGTTACAGAATTCAGAATGGGATAGGCTTATTTGGAAACCTACCTTTTTGGGTTATTTCTCTATTAAATCAGCATGGTATATTGTATAGATGGAAGGACAATTTAATGTCCAAGTAGCAGCTATTTGGAAACAGTATGTTCCCCCTAGTGAAAGACTAATTGGATGGAAAATATTACATCCTGCATTAGCTATGGATGAAACATTTCAGAAGAGAGGGGTGTATTTGGAAAGTCAATGTGTTTTGTGTCAGCTTGTTTGTGAATCAATTGGTCACGTTTTTTTTTGAATGCAGATATACAAAGGTAGTATGGGACTCAATTTCACAGCAATTAGGACTTTGATTGATTGCTAACGAGGATCCCCTTACAAGGTTTATGAGATTTGTAAGAGAGTTTAAGCACTTTTCAGTAAGTCATGCATTACTAAGGGTGATAGCTTTGATAGTGTATTGGTAGCTATGGCAAGAGCGATGTAGAAGGCTGTTTGAGGAAGAAAGGTTACATCCTTACAACTTGGTTAGACATATTCTGCACTTAGTGAGGTTACAGGTGCACACTGTTAGACCAAAGGCAATAGATTTAGTTCAAGAGAAAGAGCTGCTACATTGTTTAAATTTCTTTCAGTTTAAAGGTGTTAGAATATTTTCTTGGTGGATAGCTTGGAAGTGTCCTGTTGAGGGTTGGCTTAAGCTCAACATAGATGGCGCTTCTAAAGGCAACCCTGGAGAATCGGGAGGTGGTGTGGTTTTATGTAATCCTAATGGCCAGATGGTTCTTGCTGGGTCATATTACTATAGTATCTGTACGAATATGGAGGCAGAAATACAGGCTTTACTAAGTGGTCTTGTTCTCTTACAAGAATATGGGTTACAGGATTATGAGTTAATCATTGAGACTGATTCCAAGATGCTAGCAGATATGGTGAATCAAAAAGTTAAGGCATCATGGAAATACTGGACTTTATTATCTTAAATGTTTTCTATGCTTAGGCATTTTAAATTCCAGATCCAGTATACATATCATGAAGGAAACAAAGTTGCAGATTCACTTGCAAATAAAGGTGTATCAGATATGCAGTCTATCACATATGAGTCTACAGAGAGTATCCCTATGCAAATGAAATTACTTATGATGCATGACGTAAGGCAAATTAGAAGTTTGAGAACAAGAGTCTTAGCTGAAGGATGAGAGAGCCTTAGGTGGGGTTGGTTCCTATGCTATAATGCTGGTTTTCATGTATTTGGGCTCAAATGGTTGTTCATCTTTCTCTATTGGATTACATGGCATCTGGTCTTCTGTTGATTGTGACTCTTTGTTTTGAATCTGTTGACTACTGGTTGCTCTCAGAAACTCTTTTGTTAGGCTTTGCTTTTCTCTGCAGCAGTCAAATGAAGGAGCTTTCTGGAGTTTTATGCTTTGCTTTCTGGAGTTTGTGTCTTTTCTCTCCTTCTTACAGCAGGATCAAACTGGATACTCTTAGACTTTCTCTCTACAATAATTACATGTTTGATCTCAGGAAGAAGGTTTCTCTCTTAGAGATTTCTCTTCTTTTGTCTTAAGTTGGATATTCATCTTCTCCAAATCTTCCTTGCTAGTTTGGTTTTATGGCTGGATATTCATCTTCTCTCCTGCATATTNAGGAAGAAGGTTTCTCTCTTAGAGATTTCTCTTCTTTTGTCTTAAGTTGGATATTCGTCTTCTCCAAATCTTCCTTGCTAGTTTGGTTTTATGGCTGGATATTCATCTTCTCTCCTGCATATTGATTCATCTTCTCTCTGCATATGCTTGAAGGTGGAGGTTTCTCAAAGGGACTCAGAGGATGATTCTCTCATCGACAATGCAGAAGTCTGTTCAGAGGTTTTGGTCTATTTTGGCTTAAGCATCTGTTCAGATTCCTTATCTGATAGGCTATTCAATCTGAAAATAGATGATGTGGCCTATCAACGGTTCTGTTCCCTTATCAGATAGCCTATATTATGACCTTCTATTTCCCAGGCAGGCTATTCACTTGCCTTATCAGATAACTTATCTCTTGGCATTTATTTCTCAAGGCAGTCTATTTATCTGCCTTATTTGATAGCTGTCCACTCTTAGGATTTATCGTGCACGCAATTCATTCTCATTCTTAGGTTCTACCCCAGCTTAAGACAACAGTTGCAAATGGCTAATTTTGGAATTCTTAACGGCTTCTCTTAGCTCATCCAGTATTAAAGGTAGCTGAAGCTCTCACCTCATTCAACTCCCTTCAGCTGCTACTTATTTATTAGCAGCATACAGAGTATTTTTATTAATTGCACTATCATTTTGTACAATGCATGCATTTAGCTAGGCTTATTTTATCTCTTATTCATTTAAATTTAATTAGATTGCATCGAGGGTTAAGGTACAAACGTCCCCCTAGCTAGGTGTAATTTGATGTTTAATTAATAAAATTTCCCTCGTACCGCCGAGGTTCTTAAAAAAAAGGCATAAAAGTTGACAAAACAAAGATAGATCTGATTGAAAATTTTTCTGCCCCTAAGACTATCAAAGATTTCAGATCATTTTTAGGACATGCAGGGTTCTATAGGAGATTCATTAAAGATTTTAGTTTCATATCAAAACCCATGTGTCATCTCCTAAGTCAGCAAACTTTTGATAAGCTTAAAAGTATGTTAATTTCTACCCTGAAAATGCAACCTCCTGACTGGACTCTATCATTCGAATTGATGTGTGATGAAAGTGACTATGCTGTTGGAGCAGTGTTAAGTCAAAGAAAGAAGAAAAAACCATATGTGATTTACTATGCATGCAAAACTTTGAATGATGCTCAAATGAATTATTCCATAACTGAAAAAGAATTGCTTGTTGTGGTTTTTGCTCTCGAGAAGTTTCATTCTTAACTTGTTGGTACATCCGTCATTATGTTTACTGACCATGCAGCATTGAAGTTCTTGCTCACAAATAAAGATGTCAAGCCATGACNTGTTGGTACATCCGTCATTATGTTTACTGACCATGCAGCATTGAAGTTCTTGCTCAAAAATAAAGATGTCAAGCCATGCCNTTAACTTGTTGGTACATCCGTCATTATGTTTACTGACCATGCAGCATTGAAGTTCTTGCTCACAAATAAAGATGTCAAGCCATGACTCTTGAGATGGATACTCTTATTGCAAGAGTTTGACCTGATCATTAAGGACAAATAAAGGGGCTGAGAATGTGGTGACAGATCATCTATCCAGGCAAACATATGAATTTCATGTGGATGGGCTACAAATCAATTATAATTTCCCTGATGAACAACTGTTCACAATCATGGAAACACCATGGTACACTGATATTGCTAACTTCCTTGCTACTGGTATGTTTCCTCCTTCATTTACAATGATAGATAAGAAGAAATTTCAAAGGGAGGTTTTGTAATTTCATTTTGGAGGATCCATACGTGTTTAAGTATTGTAAGGATCAAATCATAAGACATTGTATCCCCAATCAAGAGAGCAGACATGTAATATCTTTTTGTCATTCTGAAGCATGTGGTGGCCATTTTTCATCTAAAAAAACTATCGCAAAAATCTTGCAGTGTGGATTTTATTGGTCCACACTTTTTAAAGATGTTCATGCCTTCTGCTTAACCTATGATAGATGCCAAAGGTTGGGAAGCATTTCTAAAAGAAACATGGTGCCCTTGAACCGCATTCTGATAGTTGAAATTTTTTATTGTTGGGGCATCGATTTCATGGGACCATGTTTCCCTTCCTTTGGCTATCTATATATTCTAGTGGCTGTTGATTATGTGTCCAAATGGGTTGAAGCAATTCCATGCCGAAATAATGATCACCAAATAGTGATCAAATTTTTAAAAGAAAATATTTTGTCCAAGTTTGGAATTCCTAAATCCATTATAAGTGATGGGGGTGCTCATTTTTGTAATCGTCCTTTTTGAAATTTGATGAAAAAGTAGATGATTTCTCATAAAATTGCAACCCCTTATCATCCACAGACTTGTGGACAAGCTAAATTAGCTAATTAAGAGATCAAACTAATTTTAGAAAAAATGGTAAACCCATACCGCAAAGATTGTTCATTAAAACTAACCGATGCACTTTAGGCATATCACACTGCCTTTAAAACAATTTTGGGAATGTCCTCTTATCAATTAGTCTATGGTAAGCCTTATCACCTACCTGTGGAATTGGAACACAAACCATATTGGGCCATTAAAACCATGAACTTTGACCCAGACAAGGCTGGAATTTCAAGAAAACTTCAGATCAATGAATTGGAAGAGTTGAGGAATGAGGCATATGACAATGCTAAAATTGTAAAGGAAAGGATAAAAATTTTTCATGACAAAAACATAGTGAGAAAATCATTTGCCCTTCACAGAAAGTCTTTTTATTTAATTCAAGGCTCCACCTGTTTTCTGGTAAGTTGAGGTCAAAGTGGACTAGGCCTTACATTGTCAAGTAAGTGTTTGGACATGGAATAGTGGAAGTGGAGAATCTGTCAAATGATAATATTTTTACTGTCAATGGTCAACGTTTAAAACCATTTTTCGAAGAGTTTGTTAATGATGTGGAAACCATCCTTTTTAATGAATCTAGAATATTTCGAAGAGATTCGCGTCTGTTGACACAAAAAAGGATCGAGTCAGGAAAAATTCAACCCAACCTGACTCGAGAGGATGCCTTTATAAGTCCTCCAAACCCTAATCCCTTTTTTTTTTCATTCCCCTGCTATTTTTTTTCTTCTTCTTATTCCCCTTTCTCTTCAGCAATTCATTCTCTGCAACTCCATGACCACACACTCCATAGATACCATTTTTTGTTTCATGTTTTGCATTTTAATTCTATGTATGCTCATGAGTGTCCTTCTTCTGTTTTCACTTACGCAAAAGGGTTTTCATGTTAACCGAAACCCTAATTTTTGTAAAGATGATTAAATTGTGTATTTTGTTTTTAGGCGTCAGCAGATGAACAGATCTCTAATTTCAATCCTAACTACACTTTGCGTATACTGGTAAATTCAAAACACTAAGTTTAGGTTGGGGGTGAGAACTACAGTTCATATTTTGTGCTTTTAAAATTTTTCTTGATCGTATTGCGTATTCTGGCTTGTATTTCATATTTATACAGTCTTTATAGTATAAAAAAATAATGATCATGTTTTTAAGGTAGCTTCAATTGTCTTTGTGATTGGCAGACGTTAAAGAACTAGATAGGGTGTTTTAAGCTTAGCAAGCATTGATAGTAAGATTTAGGCATTTTACGCACATTTCTAACTGATGTGCATTCTGTGATAATGAGAAAAGCAAGATTGGTGAGAAAAACTGAAATCCAAGAAGAGCAAGCGAAACCACTGTGTGGCAGAAGCACTTTTGCTAAACGTCGTCATGCCAAAATACTGGGTGCATGTAAACAATGTGGCAGGATCTTTCACATGAAGGAATACAATCAATGTTCTGAACCAATTTTTGGTCGTGCACTCGATCAATTAGACTAAATAGTGTATGGGCAGAGTAAGGATTTTCCTGAGACGTCATACTATACCAGTTTTGTACTTACACATTATGTGCGACAAGAAATTGGAAGAGTTACTGATAGTTCAAATGACATGGAAACAAGGCAAGCCTCGAATTAGAATTTTTCTTGACAAAACTGTGAAAAAAAGCATGTTTTTAAGATGAAAGCCAATAGTCCGAACTCCTTTTATAAAAGTGTAAATATTCCTTTTTATTAGATGTAGAAAGTATTTTTGGTTGAAATAAAGATGTGGGATGAGTAAGGAATGTCCTAAAATACCAACGAAGTTGTAGCGTGGGTAAGGGCTTATCTTGAGATGCCACAGTTCCAAGTTCAATTCGTGCATGTAGTCTTCTTTTAATATGTGTATATAAATGTGTTTAAATTTTGATTTTTATTTATTGATTTTTATTTTGGTGTTCGAATGCCATTTCACATTCAAACGGTAGGAGCTCACAATACTTTTGGATCTCTGCACCAACACCAAAGTACTAATAGCACCTCAAGTTTGAATGCCTGATGAACGTTTGAACCAGGATCTCACGTTCGAATGCCATTTTGACGTTCTAACTAGAGGAGCTTACAGTACTTTGATCTCTGCAAGACATCAAAAGTACTGGTAACAATTTTCGTTCAAACGATATTTTAACGTTCGAACCTTCTTTTAAAATTCCTTCTGTCCTCATTCGAACATCAATAATGTTTGAACGTTGGCTACTTGGGTATAAATACCTGGTTCATCTTCTCCCGATCACAACGCCTAAAACCCTTCAAGTTCTTCAAACCCTACCTTGCCCCTTCACTACCCAAGCCTCCAAACCTCATTCCCTTTCACTTTCTACCCAAAATCAAGCATCCAAACCACATTCCCATCTCATTTCTCACACTTTAACAAAGAAATCCCAAGTTTTTCTTACCCTCAAAACTCCAAAATCCAAAAATGCCTCCAAGGATGAAAATGCCCGCTAGGCGAAAGACGGCCAATCAAGAACCCAACTTTGTGGAGGAGGGGATTGAACAAAGGGAGGGAAGGCAACCATTGGTCTGAAGATACGATCGCACTCACTTCCCTAGTGCTCTAAAAGCCGATAGGTATGAATTTTTTTTCAAAGTCAAGCCATTGTTTGCGAATGAACTATTGAATTGTCGAATTTTGCGGATTTGGGTATTTTGTCTAACATGGAGGCTAGAGGTTGGAGTATGTATTTGAGGAATGGTGGTGATGCGATGAAAGAACTTGTGAGAGAATTTTATTCCAATATCGAGATTATGAACAAGGCTATCAAGACGTATGTGAGGGGTGCTTACATCAACGTGGACGAGGATCTTATTTTGGAGTTAAGGGATTGACCATGAGTACCAAGGCCTAGTTACCCCCTGAGGAAGAATGTGAGTATGGACATGGTAGGAGTTGAGTTTACGAGTTTGTTGACATTTGCATGGGGAGGAAGGAGGTTCTTT